ATCTCCCCCTAATAAATCCATGCTGATTGCCCCTGAGCATCATTTCTGATGCCGGCCCATCACAAATGTGCTCCTTGATGATCTTCTCAAAGAGTTTCCCCAGGATTGAGGTAAGACTGACGGGCCTATAGTTGCCCGGGTCCTCCCTCTTCCCTTTCTTGAAGATGGGGACCACATTTGCTACCTCCCAATCATCTGGCCCCTGGCCCAAGCACCACGATCGCTCATAGAGCCGTGCCGGGGCCCTGCAATAACCCCAGGTAGCTCCCTCAACACCCTGGGGTGGAGAGCATCCGGACCCGCTGACTTGAACGCGTCCAGCCCCTCCAGAAGCTCTCTAACCTGGTCCTCCCCAACCTGAGGTCTGAAGGCGATCCCCTCAAGTCCGGCTTCTATCACAGCAGGGAAGTCCCGGTCCCTGCACAAGAAAACGGAGGTGAAGAATAGGTGGAAACGTGAAAGGAAGTCAGATGCGTAAAACCAGCTGCATGGTGATGGCAGCTGAAAGAGGAGAAGTACCATAAAGGCACTTGGAAAAAGAGTAGAGAGAAGGAAAAACAAATGAAGAACCAGCTCTAAAGATATACTGAAACAGGACGAAAGAAGGGATGCAGAAGAAGCTGCTAAAAAGAGGAAAATCAGGACAGCACAAAGACACGAAATTCCTGGGAGAAATATGAATCATCTCCTCGTTCAAGACAATGGCTAGATGAGAAGGATAAGTATAGAGAAAAGGACCTTGGACATGTCCACAAAAGACTGAAAGTTGTTGGTATTCTTAGACTGGTATCAGTGGAGTATATGGAAATCAGATCCATTAAAAAAATTCAAAGAGAAAAATTTGAAGCAGCAGTTTATTAAACTTGGAGGGAAGGGGGAACTGCTCCCCTACTGAAGAAGGAAAATCCATGGCATCAATCCCCTAACCTGGCAATAAAGTCATTAAAAACAGACTGGGTCTTCATCTGTGTAGACTGAATAAAGCATAACCCTATTGTCTGGAACAATATGGAAGGTAGCTAGAGGAAATAAAATTCACAGAAAGATGTAAATATATTCTGTTAATGAATATACATACATATCAAGATATAGGTATTTTAGGCAATACTCATACCATATTATTACAACTTATAAAAATGTTTCACAAGTTATACCTAATGTGATCACACCATCTAATAGCATAGAGTATCCAGTTAAAAAAACGTACTTGTTACAATGCCACAACACATTAAGGTTGCTTTTGTTACCTTCAATTCAGTTTCCTTGGCTTTAGTTTTCAAGGCCAGTTTTGGTTCTTTATGTCTGTCAACTGTGGTGAAAGGACCATACTGAAGTATTTCTGAATTTTTCAGTTATACTTCGACCAAGTCAGTCGTTTTAAGGGAATTTCATTTATGTTTTAACTTACATAAAAATGTAGCATATACTATTGACAAATTATCAATTTAGATTGATCATGTATATATTATAAACATCATGAAATTCTTTTAATGCAAGAATTGTGCACCAAGATGTTTGCAAATTTTTAATTTTATAGGGCATGCTCCTCTTGGAAATGTACAATATTTTTCTTGTACTATAGTATATAGTGTAGATTGTAGTATTGAAGGCAAAATACAAGATAAATTTCTTACCTCCAGCAACTAGTCCAGACTCCCCTAATTGAATAGCTACCCCAAAACCACCAAGCTTTACAGGTGCTGAGTTTTCCTTTGAGGCAAGTAGTACACAGTGTGGCTGAAAAGAGAAACCCACCAGACATAAGATTATAATACAAAACTACTTGCTTAAAGACTGAACATATCTTTTTAATAGAGCAAAAAGAAACTTAATTTTCTATCTTTTGAGTGGAGTTCCACATTGGCATCTTTTCACTTCTTCATTTGAAACTTTTACTTTGGTATGATATAAGCTCCTCACCCCTTACTGCCTTCCCTCTGGACATGTCCTCACAGGGCACAGCCTCTGCTCAAGTCTTGTCAGTACTCACAGAGACCACAACTTGAAGCCACTGTGACATAGAAAATAAGGACTTTATGAGCCTTTGGCTGTTCCTCTTTTTATCTCTCTTTTCTTTTTTTACCTCCACCTTTCCCTCTCAAGAACATTGTACAATAGGAAGCTGTTCCATCTTATCAATCAGAGGATCCTACTCAGATATGTTATCTGTGAGACCTTCAGAAATGGTATAATACATTCTTCTTGAGCTCCTGACATTATCAACAACTTCCACTCACAAAAGAGAAGACAACTGCCCCTATAATATTCTGCAGTGACATAGTGGGGAAACAAACTTGTTCAAGCCTTAAAACAGGATTCTCAGCATGGTAGCTTGTGCTTCTGCTCTTCCACGATTCATGTGATCAGTCACAGACACAAAATACAGCAATTAATAATATTACATAACTATTTTAGGAGATGTGACTTACGCTGCAAAAAAGTCTAGAATACATCCGACTAAGATAGGCTGCATACCACAATGAACCCCAAGAGAAGTTGCATCTGCTCACAGTTGTCAGATCAGTCATATTAGAGTGTCTAAAAGGACAATTTGCCAACTAGATATACATATTTGGAGAATAATTTGCTGCACATGTTACAAAACTGAAAGCTATCAATAAGCAATACCTCCATCTCCCTCACAAGCCAGGTATTTAAAGTAGCTAGGAAGCATGAATCCGTTGCCTTAAGTCCTGGACTTGGTCCAAGTACTAACCATACTTCTAGAAAAGACTGGAACTTGTATCACATCAAACTAACAGGCTTAAAGTTAATTCCAATGATAGGAACCTGCTGAAACCTCTGGCACACAAGAAACAAGAGTGTTGAATACAAGGATGCTATTTGTAACAAAGCCATTTAGTACTATTACTGCCTTTTGATAAATGAAGTACATATATGGTTGTAAAGAATTCCCCTTGAATGTGGAAAAGAAGCTCTACAAACCTTCTTCATGAATGGCAAACCAAACAATGGCCATGAGAGACTCCATGTTGGTCAGATACGTGAGGATTAATTACATGTTCAACATTATTTCATCTTGAAGGCTCTCTGTGATAAAGGCCAACGGTGCCACATGAGTTTTAACTATATTAAAATAATCTAATTCTGGGTCATATTAAAGAAAACCTTATGTCAGAAGGTTATAAAAAAAGCCATCTACCCCCCATGCCTACTCAGTTCCTAAAAAAAGTCACCTGTTTTTCTATCCTATATTTCCTGATCTCTTAATTATGGGTATGGATTGGTGCTCAAATCTATGGCATGAGTGTTTTTATCAATATATAACGGAAAATGTATTAAAATATGCTCCAAATGTTATATTTTAAGTGCCAGGATAAATGAACCAGCTTCATTCACCTACAAAAACAGTGAATGAAGTTGTTTGGTTTAGTCAGGGTGTTCTCCAAACTGAACTGGAACAGGAGAATGAATGTTTTGTGTTAACCTCCTGGTTTCCCAATTCAGGAGTTAGCCAGGGGCTAGTTAAGGACATAATACAATTCAGAGCACCATGAGGAATGCTGCAAGTTGTGCCTGATACCTATGCTCCAGCCAGTGAGGTCTGCTGGAATGCCATGCACTCTTTAATATCTGGATACAGAGTTCCTGAGCTGGAAGAATCCAGCTGACTGAGTCCCATTTTGGCCCAGAAAAAAGGAGATGTATTGGCCTGAGAATTTAAGCGGCTTTCTCAAAAACAGTGCATGCATCTTATGAGTTTTTATTATTATTATTTTCAAAATCTTGGGGGGGTGGGGGGTGGAATAAACAGTGCCTGTCAGAAGACAACCTTCAAATGAGTCTGGCTGAAAGCTGAAGACTCCACAGGCAGACTTTATTCTCAACATATAAATATACAAAGATTTTTAACACATGGTTCTCATTTCAAACAGGTTAATGTGCTTGATAAATCTAAATGATATTTATGAACAGACCTGTAACTTAGACTTGGATATATGTGTACTGCCCGACTCCGTTTTTAATCTTTTGTGACCTACTTGGAACATTGTTTTCCATTCCATCTGGTATTCTGTCTAGAAAAGCATAACCTTGTATGCAACCTTCTATGTAAGCCTATAATTGCCTTGCATAAGACACTGCCATTTGCGGTGATAATCAACTTTACTTCCCCAATCATTGTTTTGCCTGCAGACAACACCTATGCAAATGTATTTTAGAAAGAGACAGTTAACCATGTTAGAATGGGCATATTTCAGGAAATAAAAGAGTGGGTTTAACTGAAACATTTGTTGGGTTTTGACAAAGACCAGATATTCTGAAGACTGATGTGGTACTGGAGCTTTTGATCACCAGAATTTTGGAGGCAGAAACTTCCAGCATAGTAGCAAAAACAGTTTTCCAATAGAAATCCACTGAAAGTTTTCAGGTAAAAGCCAACATGTCCAGTTATTTAATTAAGTCTTAGATTAAACCAATTAAGATTCAGCAAAAAATAGAATTAACATTTCTAGTGGAAACTAATGGCTGGCAATGTGTAACTGCACCCTCTCCAAAAAAAGGAGAAAAGAAGAATTAAAGAAAAGAGCTTGCTGCAACAACATACAGGGGAAGTTATAACTAGCTGACATAGCTGATTCTTATCACTTGTACGAGAAGCTTTGGCCAGTTTCTGTTTAAGACATGCAACGTTCTTCCTCCTTTCCTTCAAAAGCTGGTTTGGAAAACATCAGTGGAAGAGGGGCTTAGTAAACAGACTGTGAGTATTCTCCTTTTAATTACAGTTAAAAGTAAAACAAATTTCCTTTGAAAAATAGACTGCAAAACTACTACTGACCACCAAGTTAAAAAATTAAATCACAATCTTAAAATGTTAAGTAGATTATGTCTAACTGGTTCCTGGAGAAAATATTCACCCTGGCAGATGAGAAACATTTTGCTTCTAAAGCCTTTTACACTTTAACTTCCATGCTGCTTTTTACTTTAATTGTATCATTGTGTAAAATGTGTAACTTAACACAGTGGAATGTTGTCTTTAAAACACTTTTGAAGCAAATACCCTTTTAATTGAATCAAACATATTTTAGAATAATATGAAGCTCACAGCTGTGAGCCCTTGCAATGCTGTGCAGCAATATCACAGACATACAGTAGAAGTGTAATTTAGGTAAGAATATTGACAAGTTGTGTACAGTTATTTTCAGTACATTCCCAAATACCATCATAAAATCATTCAGTGTGGTACACTAAAATATTTCAGCTCTTCTACTACAGTATTCTAAATCTTCTGAGCATGCAACTCTATGGATTACCTCTTGTTAGTATTAGGATTTTCCCCCTTTATTCTACTATTGACCTTCTTCTTTGTGGTATTATATGGTAAAAAGTTTGCTATAGGCTGGAATTAGGAATCTCCCCCCATTCGATTTTCTATTTGAAATATTAGAGTAATGTACAAAGAAAACAAGTTTTAAGCTTATAGGAAGCTGAGATCTTACTTCAAAAGAAGCAAAATGAACCTGTCATTTAAGCTGTATGTAAACCAGCATTTCACATTTTCATATTTTAACAAATGCATTCATGTGAGGCGGCAAATAAAGTAGGTTCCTCAAGGAAGAGTAGTGTTGAAGCTGATAGCTAACAGACTGAATAGTACCATTTCCAAAATATGTAGAATATGTACCTACAAAAGTCAAGTATACAAATACAAAACTTAGTCTATGCACATATTTAAAGAATCACACACTTTTACTGTTGTTCTGCTCTTTTGGAGAACATTTATTTTCAGTAATTTCCTTTAAAAGACCTTTAAAAATGATATATTAAATCTGGACAAATATTTTTCTCCAAAATATCTTTACATGCTTAAAGGTAAGTGAAAGCCAACCAAAAAAAAAACTAAGTCAGGGCCAATTCTATGCTGTCTCTACTTGTGGCTTCCTACTTTCCCCTCACTAAAGTTTTAAGTAACCTGCTATTTCTCACATCTTCATTTTTTCTGACCACGCTAATATGGTTTTAACCTAGTATTAGTTCCCTCTCCTGTATCTTTCATTATAAAGGTAATGTTAACAATTGCTAAATATATATGCAGAATGATACAAATTATTAAAAAAATTACAATATACTGAAAACATCTATTGTTGGCTTACAGTTACAAAGCAAATACAAATATCCTCAAACTATCAATAAAACAATAACAACTATTACTTTCTAAGCTTTGAAACAATAAGTGACTTGCACGCAAGAGATGCTGGGTGCTGTATTTGAAACTGATACTGCTAGCTTCAGTGTTGGTCATTGTTCTGGTAGATTTCAATTTACCTCCATCACACTGCAGCTTCTGGTACGAAGTAATTTAATTGTGAAAGATTCCCAAAATCTCTCACACATGAAGGCTCGGTCCTCCTGAACCTTGGGGAAATGCACAACACCTGTAACTCAAGTTAGGAATTGGGTCTTGATGTCAAAGGGACTACTCATCAAAATAGTATAAATTAGCATTAGATGGTACTACAGGTTGCACAAATTCTATAATCAGCCTTATTTTGACTGAATCACTTTGATGCTAATTATATACTCATTGCACATTTCAAGTTCTTACCACAAACTGGTGCTGTTACACCCTATTTTTAGTGTTTATCTTTCAAATAATCTGAGAATGCCACAGAAAACTTAACTGCTCTGAACAAGTGGTAGCCAGAAGAAGAAAATGGGGTTGAGAAGTATGCTCTAAAAGTTAAAAATGGCATAACTAAGTTCACTCGCAGCAGATT